TCCAGGGAGTCCTTCCTTCTCATTAGGTGGCCAAAGGATTTGAGTTTCATCTTCAGGATCTGGCCTTCTAAAGAGCAGTCAGGGTTGATCTCCTCTAGGACTGACCAGTTTGATCGCCTTGCGGTCCAAGGGACTCGCAGGAGTCTCCTCCAGCACCACAATTCAAAGGCCTCAATTCTTCGGCACTCAGCCTTCCTTATGGTCCAGCTTTCACAGCCATACGCATTTTTGTTGGCAGGGTGATGTCTCTGCTTTTCAGTATGCTGTCTAGATTTGCCACAGCTTTCCTCCCCAGGAGCAAGTGTCTTTTAATTTCTTGGCTGCAGTCCCCATCTGTGGTGATCTTGGAGCCCAGGAAAATAAAATCCGTCACTACCTCCATTTCTTCCCCATCTATTTGCCAGGAAGTGATAAGACCGGATGCCATGATCTTAGTTTTCTTAATGTTGAGTTTCAAGCCAACTTTTGCACTCTCCTCCTTCACCTGCATCAAGAGGCTCTTTACTTCCTCTTCACTTACAAAGTTCTTCACTTACGTTCTTGCTTACAAAGCTTCAAAAGAAATGCCAAAGACACGAAGCCTGCCATTTAACGTGCATGTTAAGCGTATCCAAAAGCCACCCTGGCACAGCTCAGCATCAGTCACTCAGCCCAAACAGAAATGCTTTGCAGTATTCCGTGTGTGTTGAGGCAGTGTGAGGGAGGGCCAATTCGCAATGTATTTCTAAGTGTGGGGCTTGTTACCAAGGATGGGAAACTCAGCCTATGCCCCAAGGAGCTTACAATTAACAATGAAACAAAGCCCAGAGTGCAAGGAACAACAGGACTACCCCCTTGCACAAACTCGTTAGGGGTTCATCCAGGGGCCCCTGGAGGAGCTTCAGCACAGACATGCCGGTCTGCTGGCCCTGAAAAGTCTTCGGCGCAGAGGCATCCGTACCATCCCTGCCCCAGATCAACCATGGCCCTTCTGCATGCAAAACCGATCGCTGCGCCTGCGCATGGGGCCGCTCCATTCACCTGTGCTGCTTGGACCACAAGAGATGTGCTGCTCCAATGATCACAGGCCACTCCAGAAGCCCTGCAGGACTGCTCGATTTGTTTCCCGTGCTACGTAGTTCTTAATCAAAGTCCTCCAAGCCTGCCAATGAGAAGGGGAAAGAGCGAGCTCCCCATCAGCCCATCAAACCTGGAGCGCCGAAAGGCCCCAGGCCTCCTGTTCCTTCATGCCTTCTTCCCATTAGTTTCCAACAGAACAAATCCATGAAGTCGGACACCAACCGCGGCTGTGTAATCCAAGAATGTATTAATTCACTATCATTTAGAAGCATATATGGCAGGTGCGTTTAAAAAATGAAGGAAGTCACACGCTGGTCCATGAGAAAACAGAATCCCAAAGCCTCCGCTGGGCAGCACACCTATTAGAAGCAGCAACATGCCGCACAAGATCGCGCAAGCCTCTTGCATCGCCCGGCGCATTTCACCCGACGAAGTGGTGCAGGAAACAATGGCAGATTGTTGTGTGGAAGGCGCAGAAGAGAAGCCAGCATGACGCAGCGCTGACATCACAGTGGCCAGAATCCAGGCCCTGCTCTGGGCAAGTTCTGCGCGACCAGCCTTGGCCTTTCCTCAACACAGGGCCTGCGCTGGGTGTGCTTCGGACAGCAGGCCCCCAAATGCCGGAGGCGCCCCGGTCGGATGGGGCCAGGCAGTTTCCTCATGAGGCTGAGGAAGAGGACAGCTGGGAGACCGACCCGGACTACATCAACAATGCCAGCAGGCAGTGCGCAGGCCACGAGATTTCAACGGCTTCTGTGATTTCTGGTAAACACAGGGCAGAAGGCACCTGTGAGTGTAGCCAGGAAGGGTGTGGGGAGGAGCAATTCCTGCCCCGAAAGCCGGGTGTTACTGTCTTTGTTTGGAATGGGAGCACCCCTTACCCCAAACAGTACGCACGACACATAACTGAATTGCAACACGCATTACACAATACATACCATGCATGTTTATTTGTATTATTATTACATAGCGTTTATATCCCACCTTTTGCAAGGAACTCAAGGTGGTTCACAAGGCCTCCTCCCCATTTTATCCTCACAACAACCCTGTGAGGTAGGTTAGGCCAAGAGTGAGTGACTGGCCCAAAGCCACCCTTCATGGCTGAGTGGAGACTCAAGCCGGATCTCCCAGGCCCCCAGCCCAGCACTCCGATCAGCATACCACACTGGCTTTTTCCGTGGAAGATGCAACCTTCATGCACAATCCACCAAAAGCTGATCCTCACTCAGCGTTTGTGCCTGCCCTGCCCAGCCGGGTCCCCTCCGGAAGTGCGACCCCTGTTAACCCACAGCCAAGACTGTCCAACTCCTCCTGGGGGCCCAAGGTTGGGGAAGGCTGTTCCTCGTGAAGAGGGCCAGGAGTTGCGCTCCTGCAAAGCCCATCCCATGACTGTGGGCTGCCTCCCGATGCCTCTGCAGGCCGGGTGCTGCTGCACATGGGCAGGAGGGCAATCCCAGGAACCGCGCGCGTCAGAAGGGGCCTCCCTCCCGGGCCATCTAGTCGGCCCCGCTCCGGACAGGCCCGCCGCGCGCGCACCCGGGCTCCCCGCTCGGCGCTGCTGAGCCTTCCCCGCCTGCCTGTCTTTGCCCCTGCAGACCTCTCCAGATCCCTGCGGGGGTGCAGCCTCGCGGAGGCGGCCCCGCCGAGCAAGAGGAAGGACGCCGGGCGCCACAGCCACCCGCAGAGCCGCGGCGGCCCCGCCGGGGGGGGCCCCGAGGGGCCGCGCTCCTCGCCCGCCCTGGGCATCGAGCGGGCCTCCCTGTTCAAC